TTTTTTTTTTTATGGAGAAAATGAGCAACATCTTTCATAAAACAAAAGGCAAAAATTCAACGGTAAGTCCAAGATACTTGAATTCGCACTTTGTTTTACTGAAATTGAATGGGCTACAAAGATGTATAGATACTCAGAATTTTCCTAATAAATCTAATTAAAAAGCTTAACATTTTGATGAAATTTTGTCGAATTTTGCAAATTTTTGTACAAAGTTTAAGATTTTGACTTCTATGGCTTTTGCCAGATAACGATAATAATCGAAATAAAAACAGCCAAAGAATGCTAAGATGTCTCTACCTTATTTATATTTTCGCCACTGTACATATGTACATATGTATGTGCTAGTAAGTTTAGAAACGTTTAAAAAAAAATTTTTGACTTCAATTAAGTGTGTTGTACGTACGCGCTTAACGTCCATATGTATATATGTGTGTAGTATGTACGTATGTGCATTATTATTTTCATAGGTAACATTTAACCTAAGTAACCTATCATTACTGTAATTGCATATTTGCAATTGAATGTCGGTTTGGTCTTTCTGATAAGAAATTTTATTTAGATTATAGTTGCGTTTGGGCGCAGATAAATACGAACCGTCATGTTCAATACAAAGAAAAACTAAGAAATTATTAAAACATTTTTTCCTCGTTTACCTACATACATACATATTTACATACCAGATTTTTTGAGCAGAACTATATTAGGTGTTAAGGCTGGGAGTTTTACTTTCGAGATATCGCCATTCAAAGCAATGGTGATACATAACTCTTTAAAAGAAATGCGTCTTTGGGTCATTCAGAAATGCTTAGTGGGCAATACAGAAGATAAAGCGGACATGGTACTTTTCACAAAACTGTACAAGATCCCTGCATTGAGTCTTCGAAATGGCACTCAAAGGCTGTATGAAATTAATTGGAGTGATCTTGAGCAGCAAACCGCTGTGAAAGCGCAATACAGTTGGACCCATATTAATAAATGTTTGTATATGTGTATGTTCTCGTGGACAACATCGAATAAAAAGCGTTATCTTAAGCATGCGGACAATATCCAGAAGGGTTCTCTACCACAATTTAAGAATAAGGTTGGTGTAACCATGTGATATGTGATATAATCTTGAATATTAACACAGATGGGTGAAAACTGACTGAAGGAGTAGCTGAAGTCTTTAGCAAAGCCTCTTTGTGACAAGAAAACCGCGGTAATTACTTAGATTACTTAGATGAAAAAGGAAATCGGCTTCACTATTAATTTATGTATACGTTAATGGTCAAGCGACGCTAAATGCAATCAGCGCAAAACACATTTCGTTCAAAAATTGTCTAAGAGGCAGAGATGCAGTGGCGATGCTAGTGACGAATGGCCAGTAGAAATGCCGTTTTTAAATCGATTAATTGAGCCCTCCGATTCGATCCCTGAATTGATTCAACAACTTCGAGAATTGACATTCGATTTTTCCTCAATTGATGCATATTGATCTACGGTTTGCCCCAGAACATCTACATATGAAATGTTAAAGAAATTTGGATATGGGGCTGGTAGAAAAGAATAATGGAGCTTGACATGCACCTCCCATCTTTCCAACTTGGGAGATCAAAGACCAAAGTATTCATTGATTTGCCTCTCTTTCTCCTCCGACCACAGGACTCCTCAGGGAAGCCTCTTGAAAATAACTCCATATAAAATTATGGATAATAAAACAACAAAAACTCCAAAAATTGGAATTCCGAAGTTAATGCAGATTTTCATAACAAATGTTCCCTACTTAGTTACTCCTTTTAGACAAAATTAGAGTACGTATGCAGTTTTGCAGCAAATGTTTTCTAAAAAAGGTAATTAAGAAGTGAAATATATGTAGACTTAGCAAAAACAAAAAGACCCAAAAAACGTTTGTATTGCAAAAAAACTATGCACGTAAGCTCCGCTGTATAGTACCTAAATTTTTTAAAATAAAAAAAAAATAGTTAAATAATAGTTAATTTTGAAGTAAAACATAAAATTATTCTCATTTATAATCAAACCAAAAAAAAATTCAAAAAATTTAACCATAATCTTAAGTAGGGCTGAATTTCCACTAGGCATTAAAACACAAAAACTCGAATGACTTTGTTGGGCATTAAACAATGCCAGTGTCAGATCTACTAAGTTCCAGAACATTGGGTAATCAAAGGAAACGAAAGGATTATGGGTGAGTTTGGCAAAAGTGCTGCCCACTTAGGGTACGAAACGACATAAAACGATTGCTAAGAAATCTACAGAACGATATTATAAATCTGTATAATTAGCTATAAGGTGCCATATTTAGGTATAAAAAGGCCAAAAATTGACAACTAGAAATATAAAAGTGTCAAAAAACGTAAAACTACTTTTAATCGGAGAAGATTATTTCTTGCTTTCCCATTTACCAATAAAATAGGAATCACATTTGTAGACCAAAACAAAAGCGCAATAACAAAATAAAATAAACTTTGAGACTAAAAAATTTTAGTTGATTTGAAAGTAGAGCATACGTTGGACTTCACAAAAATTTATTGAAGAAATATTTTTATTTCTCAATGTACAATTTTGACACCTTGCGCCAAATTGAAAAGTTTGGTGCCATTTCACGTAAAATTAGTTCTCGTTTATGCCAAGGTTTGAGCCAAGTTGGCAGGCCTGAATACTGAATCATAATCGATGAAAATCATAAAATTTGAAAAACCCAATTTTTTATGAAATTTTGTTAAAAGTGTTCCGAAATTCTTGAAATAGCTGTTTATAGCGACTAAGCCGGCGGTTTGATGCAAAAGAATTACAGACTTTTTTCATACAGCACATATAGTTTCTAAGGTTAGAGAAACATTCTGATTTTACAAGCATAGTGTATTAGAATTGAAATGTAATTCGATTAGAAAATGATCATGAAAACACTAGACATAAAAAAGCAATTGGAATTCAACGTTACAATGCGTTTAGATATCTAATCTTTTCCACGATATTGAGAACTAAGTCCACTTTTTGTAGAGAATGAAGTAATGCTCGACAGATTCTCGAATTGTCTTCTAACTTTCTACCTTAGAGAAACACATTAGAATTCGACTTATTTTGTATTCGTTCCTAAATAATGTTCGCTATTATTAGCTACCCTAATGCAAGTTATTTTGTGTGTTTGATAAGGATTTAAAAATTCATCATCATCTGGTCACACTGCCTTTATGTATGTATACATAATTCTGCCCTGAAAAAAATGTTCATAAAAAAGAGACTCACCTTGTGCTTCATCAAAGTCTTTTGTTGTCATCTGAAAGAGTGCATCCAAGGGCGTTCCATTTGGCTTGCCTTTCGAATTCGAGCCATTGTTCGCCGCATTATCATTATTTGCACCACTGCCGCAGCCCGAACTATTGCTTCCCATATTATTGCCCCCGCCATTTCCAGAAGTTGAGGTATGTGAAATGCGTTCCCGATCGCGCTCACCCGTCGCCGATTGCGCCGCCCCGGTCGATGGCTCCCCCGACGAGCGGGCAATTTCCGGCGAACAACAATCGCTAGCCGCCGAACTGGAGCGCTCCGAACCACTTTCGGACGGTATCATATCCATGCCCATGTGACGCAACAGCTGCGCTTGGGCATTAAAATGCTCCTGCAATTGCCGATGATAGTCCAGCGCCAAGCGCTGTTCATAGTGCAACAGTGCTGAGGGTATAAAGGGACGCACTGGCATCGGGCCCAACAAATGATCCCAGGGGCGTACAATTTGCGCGCCCGGCAAAAGCATATGATGGGGCATGCCAGCGGCAGCCGCTGCAGCAGCGCTTACCATATCCAGCGGTTCGGTGCGTGGTTGCAACAGACCGCTGGCGCCCAACAATGGGCGCGTGGGTGTACTAGCGGCATGCTGCTGCTGTGCCGTCGCCGCTGCCAGCTGTGCGGGTGGCGAAGTGGACGTGGCTCGCTTCTCATGACCCAAAATATCAGCAATGGTAAAGCTTTTCACACCTTCAATATTCGATTTAACAGCGGTGCCTGTCGCGGCGGCATTCGCTGTTGCTGTGGTCGCGGACGTTGGTGCGGGTGGCGGTAGTGTAGTGCTGTGCGTTTGCAGCGGACTTGGTGTGCGATTCGCCGTTGACGACTCCTCCATTTCGCTGCTGGACATACGCAGGCGTTTCAGTGGTTGGAAATACTCCTCGGCGCCGGTGCGTGTCAGACCTGCAGCGGCTGCTGCTGCTGCGGCGGCGGCGGCTGCATGTTGTTGCATGAGCATTTGTTGATGCTGCAGCAGATCGATGGTGCTGCGGTGTTGTGACGGCTGTGCATGAGATGGTTGATGGTGGTGCTGGCTTTGGTGGTGGGGCAATGGGCTGGGTGCGCCACCGACGGAGATTTCTGATTCAGCAGGGCTAGCAGGACGCATGGTGAGCGGACAAAGCATGTTACGATAAGCGTACGTGGTGTATGAAGATGCTCGATGGGCGTTGGTCTACTAAAGCCGACGGATAAAAACACACCAAAAGCGAGGAACTAGAGGGCGAGCGTGGTGTGCACAGTTTCCAATATAATTTTTTCGAACTCGAAAATTTGTTCACAGTAGGTATATTTTATTTTAAAGTTAGATATTAGTTTATTGCAGGCAACACTTTGGAAATTATTTAAAGCACTGTCTTGTGTATTGTTGTTATGCCTAGTACATTACAATTAATTTTATTTTCATAAATTTATTCTATTTTTTTTTTGTTCAATGTTGCATTGCATTAACGAGCGCACGTACGCAGCAACTAGTTTCCCGACATCTAAACACGTTTGCAGTTAGCTGAGAACTGACAGCGGACAGCCGACACAAAAATTGAAATCAATCAAATTACAAATCAGTTAGTCGTACGAGTCAAGTCGCGCTGCAACAAACCTCTAACAAACGTTGATTCTCCTTAAGATTCTCTCTGATTAGCCGCCTCATTTATTTATTTTATTTTTTTTTGTTGGTGCTTCTTGCGCACAACTCAACATTTCACTTTACTCAATCAAATCGTCTGCATTCTTATATGTATGCGCCGCTATGTTTGTATGTATGTATATTTGCTTGCATGCATGCGCCTTCACTCTTCACTTGACACTACTTCTCATTGCAGTATGTGTTTGCTGTTATTGTTTTTCTAGTTTGCTTGTTAACAATTAATTTTTATGTACGACTGACTCTTTGACGGCCGACACTGCGCACTAACATCCAATCGGGCCAACCTCTCCACTCGACGTTTCGCAGGCAACTGTTCGAAACTAGATTGAAGTTTGCTAACTAGACAAGTTGATTTTCGAGTTTTTTGCCGACTCTCCCTGCTTTCAGATATATGGATATGTAGGTATATACATATGCAATTAGCGCGTTGTTGTTGTTCTTCTTATTTTCTACAATACACAAAATACATGACGAGATTTGAACTGCAATAGTGGTGGTGGCGGCTTTCGTTGTATGAGTGCTAGCACTTTGCCTGTATTTCAATTGGTTTCATTCTGATTTTTAGCCCAACACTCTCTTCGCCACTAGTCGCTCTCCTTGGTACAGCAAGCACTCGCTCTTGTAGATACATATGTACATATCTATGTATAACCACTGTAAATGTCGTGCCATTCGTGTCGTCGTGTCTTGTTTGTCGACAGTTAAACTCGACAATCAAATCTTAACTAACCAAGTGAGTAAGTGGAGATCCCGCTAACGACAATGGGCCGCCGACGATGATTGTGGCAGCAGAGTTAATCCGTAGGCGGCAATGCCGATGACGGCGGGCAGCAAAAAAAGCCAGCCAAACAAGTTTCCTTCCATACAAAGAGAAAATTGGTGCAAGCTGTTTGTCGGCCGAAACAAGAAATAAAGCAAGAAGAGCAAAAAAAAAACACCAAAACAAGAGATACTCCGTAATGTGCGAGAGGCAAATACGCAAAGGCGCAACAAAAAATGTGAGCACCAAAAACAAACCTAAATGTTAGAACAGTACATTGCATGCGCCCTTTTGCGTGTGAGCGCAGCTAACATGCATTGCCGCCTTTGCGCTCTCGCTCACTCGTACAGCAGGTGGTTCTACAAAGATGGTTGCTGAAAAGAGTACGCCCGTTGGAGTGCCGCAACAAGCGATGAGTGCGCAAAAGGCGTTCAGCACGTGGCAGAGCCAATCAGCAGCAGCCGAAAAAAATCGCAATGGTGGATTATGCGCTGCAGCTGTAGTTATGGCGGTCGTCATGTGCGCAAGCTAAGCAGCCTGATTGATAGCAGCACGGGTAGTTATTTGTTAAGGAGTGTGTTGTTGGCCAAGCGTTTGCGAGTGAGCGAGCGCACAAATGAGCGTACATATTTAGTAAAGCAAGCGTAAATTAACGCAATCCATATATATGTTAATAAGTACGCAAGTTTGTAAGTAAATTTGTAATTGGGCCCTCTAATGAGACCGTTTATAGCGGCTAGAAAACTGTGCGTTCGTTATTAACGATGAGATGAGAATTTATTAAATGTGTCAGAACAGATCGCCTGCCAACAGAGTAGCTGTCAAACTATAAAAATGCGAAATTTACTAACGGGGCGTCTCCACAGGCACCACTTTTTTTCTTGATAATGTTATCAGAGAATATTTTGCCAGTGGGGACCGCACATTGCTCATGACTGACTAATAATAATTATCAGCGCCATCTACAGCCGGCAATTTGTTAGTTTCAGAGCTATATTTTCATTTGCGCGAAAACTCTATTAAGATTTAAGCGAGCTGGAAAATACCTCCAAAAATGCAGTCGAATAAAAATAGATACTTTCTTAAAGATGTTTTTTTTTGAAAAATCCCCTCAAATGTCAAAACGGTTTAATCTTAAGAAATTTATATAAAAATATTAAAAAAAAAATAAAAAAAATTTTGAACGGAATCGTATCTAATAATGGGATATTTGGTGCTGTTTTTTAACTTTTTTCAAAGATTGGTATAAGAAAAACTTGAAGAAAGGAAAGGTAGGATGAACGAACATAATTCAAAGTGGAAATAAGATCGTTGGTATTTAAAAAAATAAAAAATTGGGACACGAATGACTTTTTTGCACATAAAAAAAATTGTGGCAAAATATTTTTCTACCGAGATCCCATAAGTCTAATTCAGAGTAGTTTCGGCCCAGTTATTTAAATTTAATATAAGTAAAAAAAACAGCATCAAAAATCTCATTATTACGATTCCGTTGAAAAGATTTTTAAATATTTTTATGCAGTTTTTTTTAAGCCTAATCTGTTTTGTCATCTAAGGGGACTTAAAATGTGGTGCTATCTATGTAAAAATATTTGAAAATGACTTGAAAAAGATTAAACTATATTTAAGCATTCAGTCATTTAAATATTTGGTGAAATTTTTTTTAACAAAAGCAATATGTTTCTATTTCCACGAAAATGTCTTGCTAGATAATTCTAACCCTACTGCTTGTGGGTGGGAATTCGAAACATCGCCACTAAAACATTGACCGCCTCATTTTGGTTGTTACAAACCTAAGAATGGGCTTGTTAGAATTTATACAAAATTTTTTTCTGCAAGTCCCCATCAAGTCAGGCTCGAGGTCATTTCAAGGTCAAGTAGGGAAAAATTCATTGAATAAACCTGAAAATTCATATACATATATGTCAATCCGATGTCCGTTAACCTCCAAACGGTCAGTTTCGATGTCATTTGAGGGTCAAATAGAACAAAAAATTGATTCAATAAAAAATAATTTTATTTTATTTTTGTTTTTGTTGTCGCTGAATCCGAATATGGGGTCCCTTGATTTTTCAAGATCATCTAGAGGTCATGCCAAGGTCATCCCAGGGTCAAATTTAGAATAATTGTATTGAATTTTCAGGTTTATCCAATGAATTTTTAACAGACCTAGGATTCGCATTCAGCGCGTTGAATAACGTAGAGGTATAGAGGTTTGGTTCAATATGCAGACACTTTTTTTTTGTAAACCTGTGTATTTAGCCGCAGAAAATCAAAAAGTGGGGTACCAAATAGCGTAGAGCCTCCAATTCGCAACCGATTTCTGTTTTTTTTTTCTTTTTTTTAATGAAAGTTGATATGGCTTAGAAGAAATTTGTCAAGCACTGTTATTGAATTTTTTTGTGTTTATATTAATTTAAACAATATATTTAAAAAAAAATCAAACCAAATATTAAAAATTAATTTTCTTGTTAAATTAAAAAAAAAAATATTGTGTTTGCAGTTTTATAGCCTATTAAATTCTAGTATTTATTATACCTACAAGTGCAAGTTTCAAGTGGTTAAAAAATGCTTTGTTAGCAATTT